ACCAAGAAAAATAGTTTATTTGTAAACTAAACGGATCTGATAGTAATTCACCTTGAATAATAAAGCCTTTACCATTGATTCACATTCTGATTTGTGTAGCCAAGATAACCTGCCTTGCACCAATAATGGTGGTTATGCCTTTAAATATAGAATTACATATGCATATGCCAGATGCAAAGGGGTCTTTAATTAACGTTTCTTTGGTGTGTATATGGGGGGCGAGGTATTTCCAGTTTTCCTGCACTGCATTAGCCTTCAGACCTGCTGTTTACAGAAAACGACAAGAGGCCTGAGCCTGCGGGCCTTATCCCTTTCTCAACAGCCAGGATCTTCTCATCTGTAGAGTGAAAGTAAATTTATCTTTCCGACATTGCAAATGAATGGAGGCCAAGTTCAAAGCTTACTTATTGTAGTTGTCAATAAAATTTAATTTTGCTTTGACAAACCCAAGTCTCTTTTGCAATGAGATATATTTGATTAAATACACTTCGAACCTACCTAGACTGGTTACATTTTACTTCTTAATAATGGCAAAGGGAATCTCTGATCTTTGGGCTATTTGTCTACAAATGTCAAAATAAAGAAGACGCAATAGGGGTTTCCTGTGAGATCATTGTCTAAACCATGTTACCATGACAATAATCTCTTAACGTTTTTAGGTATCCATTTCGATATGCTAGCTAATTAACTGGATTTTCATCTCCTTCAGCCCGCTGGTGAACTGATACTTGATGTGATACCTGCGCTTTAGTCTTAATCATCCTGCATTCAGTCATTTAACACTCTTGTTTTTAATCGGGCCAAACGCGGCTGGTTTTACAAACTGGGAGTCAATGGAACAGGATTTGGCCCGATTCAAATGACTTGGTCTATATTTTGAGGGATTTTACAAAGGTCTGACTCTATATAATCAGAGCCAAGAATGTGACAACTGGTTTCCTAAGATCAGTGTCTGGCTTGTTCAGATAATTCACTACTTATCACGTATCCCCAAATCCTTCACACACGCACTGCAATGGAACTATACAGTTTGGGTCTATTGTATAGCACCGAAAATTTTCTTTTTTTTTACGGGAAAACGATTTAGAGCACTGTATACAGTTTGGGTCTATTGCATAGCACCGAAAATTTTCTTTTTTTTTTACGGGAAAACGATTTAGAGCATTAGGTTTACTCCGTTCCTCCCCAATTCTCGCTCTGCTCCCTTTCCTGCGTGACTTTATTGTCTCTTCCTGACCTTTATTCTCTTGCATTTTCTCTCCTGGTTTTATGCTCTACAGTCACAGCTCTGCTGGAGCCCCGCGAGTTGCCGTGTGACTAATTAATAAAGCTGCAGGAATGTATATAATGAAAGGGATCTATGTCTGTCCCAGGACTGAGCTGTTGGCAGCCACTTTCACTCATAACGAGGTGAATTCATGTAAAATATTCCTGTCTAAAAAGGGGGGAGGGGAGAAGCACCGATCCTGTTTGAGCTAGCGCCGGAATTGTTATCAAAAGTCTGTGTTATCGTAACATGATTTTCGTAGGTCAGCTCCGAATTTTTTCACTACTAACGCCCTAGGGGCTGCGTCATTAGCAAGCAGCTCCAAAACCCGACATCCTGCCTTGCTGCTCTTCGTTAGAATGTTTTAGGGTCAGATTTATAGTAACCAGATGCTTGGATTCCAGGTGATAACATTGGAGTGAATAGACGGACAGGTTTCATTGCATTATCAAATGAAAATACTGGGATGTAGTAAAAAGGGAAATCAGCGAATCTGGATTATTACTATTCTAGACCCTAGAACCTGCTGGTGTTTATCGTTTAATATTATATACCTAGACTGAGAAGTATGGCCGGCTATTAACAGAAATGAACAGCTGTTAAGGAACTAAATGTTATATGAATAATCGAAAAATCGTGTTCAATTATGTTTTAGGGTTAATAGTTAAATTGCGGCTACAAAATCTTTTATGTTTCATGGTTTACTGGTGTTGTAAAGAATCTCCATCAGGTCTGAACGCCTCAGTTCATAGCTATCGTGCATATGCTTTTAAAATGTGAATGTTTCCAGCTGAAAACTAGTGCATGACAGATTAAAACGTAGAGAAAACCTGAGGGAGATTTTGAAAATGCACACATGACAACTCTGGAAATATATTAACCACAGGCATTGGGCAACTCTGGCGTATGTTTAAAATGCAACTAGTCCCTGAAAATTGTTAATACAACAGTGAGAATCTAATGGAGGTTGGAAACTAAAAATCTACTTTGATCTCTGCTGTTACAGGAATATAGACATACTGTAAATGTATTTTAAAATATATAGCCCGTTTAATTCCCCAGCAATAAATGTGTTAGAAATGGAGAAGAAGTGAGAATATTACTTTTTTTTTCAGGAGCCAAACCTTTATGAAGATCTCATTGGAATCTAGCAGATGATTAATGTGAAGATTTGGTAGGAAATCTGGAGAGCTGTATTAAAGCTCAGATCTCAGGTTCATTTCGATCAGCCAGCCGTGAACTCTGGGCCGAATTCATTACACTTTAATAGTGCTGGGAGAGGAAGAAAATGCAATTTCTCATTCCATTAGAAAACTAGAAAATACTCTCAGCTTGTCCCCTATTAAGATGTGGCAGGTGACAGGACCATTGTGGGGGACACGGTCAATGGAATTACAGCACATTATTTTTGTTCGTATAAAATATTGAAAGGCAAGGCTGACTGTGCAGAAGTTATTTCACTGATTTGGTTTTTATGTAAATAAAATATTGAAAGTTAATTAATCCATGCTAGAGACTAATGATTATGCTTATTATATTGCATTGGATCGCGTAATTTGCATGATTCTCGCATTGCTGCTTAATAAGCCATTCCAGGTTATAAATAATTCTGAAATTGGTTTCTAATAATGGCATGCTATAAAAAAAATGGTTTTATTACGCAAGCCTGAAAACCAGAGCGGTATCAGACATAGAACTAGCTTCTCCTATAAGCAATAGGCCTCTAATAATTATTTAAATGAATACTATACATTATATATAGCTCTAAAATGAGGAAAGAGATAATTTATTCTAGCATTTAAAATACATAAAAACATATACAGCCGCTATAAATTAACTGTTTAGATCATTTCTTAGTCAGTGTGGTGCCCCACATACTGTAAGGAATGTGTAGGCAATCTGTTAACTATAAAGAATACTGTGCGGTACTCATATAAGAACATAAACCAATTACTTTTTAATTTAAATTTGGTCAAGGAGCAATGATACAGTGAATTGTGAAGTCAATACATTTTACATAAATTATTTTTGCATTACATTCCATGTTAATCATTTTGAAGTGTTAATTAAGAAGGCTATGTTGATCTGATTACTTTTTAAACTACAGAACATTATTGTAAAAAATATTTAAATTGCCACTCTATTAAACTGTTTTTATCAGCAGTCTCGTGCTGTTATCATTGGTTCAAGATTATGCTGAGCCCATTAAAACACTTTATCTTTCTTCATACATATTTCTTTTATGTGCTTTTGGAAAATAACTATTTCCATTATATATTTTATATTTTATTTCATTTACCACACTCCTAATACTGAAATTGGTGTCATTAACCTTTGGAAAATCCAATAAAGTTTAATCGTCCACATTTTCTTTTTTTTCCTAAAGTCAGTTGTCCAGTTATATTTTATTTGTGAATCCTTTCTATTTTAATTTAAAGTAATTGTCATCATGTATCAGTTGTATAAAATCGTTTTGCTTTTTAAACGTGTGTGTGTGCATGCGCGTGTGTGTTCTGTTACAAACAAGAAACCATCAGTTTCTGCTTAAGAAACGTTCATTTATTTTTTAAAATATCTTTTGTCTTTTTTTTCCATTTTTGAGATAAGGACTTGGCTTGCCGTGATAATTTTCGAAAATGAACATTATTAAAATGCAACTGCATTCAAAATATCACCATTCCACGTATAATTAAAGTACGTTCAATGAGGATCGCTTAAGGATCTTATACAAATTCCCCAGAATAACAGTTTAGGTTTAAAATCGTTGTTTGTATCAGTCTGTTGTTTTTTTATTCCCCTGGCTTCTTTTAATGTCTTTCTAAATTTCTTGACTAAACTTGTATATGTCAAAATACATATAATAAAATGAGATATTTAAATAATTGATATTTAAGCTATTTAGTTCTACTCTTGTCTTCAGAATTTTTTATTAAGAAAATTAAACTCAAAAAGTTTAAAAGCTTAAAGAATTTTTTAACCAACCATTTAAAATTTAACATATTGTTAAGATTCAATTCATATTATATAGGAGATTTGAGTTGTGAAATATTTCAGGCACTCGCGCATAAAGTTCCGGGGAAAACATTGCCGCAGATTTTAATGGCAGATCTTCAGTACCTTGGACAGCTTACACTACTAAATTAGATTCAGAGCACAACCAATTCAGTGCTAACGATGATGAAAGAAGCGGGAACATATTAGGAGCATACGCTTATTGTAAACATTTCAGGAGACATAAACATGTGACTAATTGAACAGCCTCTGAATTTGCAATTGCTTTCCTAGTGTTCAATGCTGCTTTCCACTGGAATTCAATATTCCCCCCCAAATCCAAGTAAATACCACTTCAGATTTACAGTACGATTTGAAATTATTTTAGCTCGCTGGTAATATTTCACAGGCTCATTAGGAAAGAGGAAGCGCAACTGAATGTATTAAAAATGAAACAGAAAACTAGTTACAGCAGATCTGTCTTTGGTTTTGTTTGGTTTGAGGGGTCTCTTTTCGATCGATCGATTGATCGTTCTTTTCAGAGATCAATTGTAAAGTGCGAGGGTGTTCGCTGGATGTACAATCAGCCCAGAAAACACACCATTTTACTACGCAGAACTGTGTCCCGCGCTACACTGTTCCCCCTAACGGGGATTGGTTCAGCCATTTATGCAGAAATCGAAGTTCTGTTTAATAGCTGATATTCAACTGTTGCATTCACACTAGTGCTGATAATCCCTTTCTTGCCCCAGATGGGCGTTTAAAAAATTCCTTGCGGCTTCAAATGCTATTTTGTTGGGCCCCTTTTGCACAAGGTTGGTCTCTAGGCTCTGGCTCTCGATGGGTTTGTTCCTATTTATGCTAGGGGTTAGGCGGTGGTCTTTGGAGCTGCCTCTCTAGACGGTAGGATCGGGGGAATTACAAAGCAGCCTGTTCTCTGATCAGCCCACCAGGGAAAGCCTAAAGGAGGGGCGCGAGGCCCGAGGTGCGGTGGCGGCAGGTAGCGAGTGCAGGGGGTGACTGAGGGCTCCGGGAGGGATGTGCATGGGAGCAGCTGCTCATACCTGGACCCGGGACTCGGTGAGGCCGATCCTCAGGGCCAGCTCTTCCCGCATGAAGATGTCTGGGTAATGGGTCTTGGCGAAGCTTCTTTCCAGCTCATTTAGCTGCGCCGGGGTGAAGCGGGTCCGGTGCCGTTTCTGTTTCTGCTGCCCCTGCTGCTGTCCCGTTTGGTTGGGGTTCTGCCCGCCCGGCTGCCCCTGCTGCTTGTCGGGGTCTTTGGCGCTGACTGCCAAGGAGGCCGGGTTGGAGCCCACCGTGGTGATGTCCTCCCCGGGCAGCAGGGTGGCCCCTTCCACCGTGTCCGAGTTGGGAGCCATGTCTCCCGGGTGCCCTCCCGGGTCCGAGCCCCCTACGCCCAGCCGGCACTTCACCGCCTCCCGGTGTCCCAGCAGCTCCGCTGCATCTTTCATTCCTGCGGAGGCAAAGCAGCGGCCGTCACTCCCCTGCAGCCAGGTAGGCGGCCCCCGCGCGGCTCACGCTGGGATCCAGCAGCGCCCGGCGCACCAACTTTGCCATGGGGCTCGCCCCAGCCATGGAGCCTCCAGCCCACCCCGCCGCCCCACAGCTCCGGGCCGGCAGAGCCGTCAGACCCACTTGAGTGGGCAGGGAAACTTTGGGGCCAGCCGCTCTGCCTGCGGGAGGAGCCGGCGCTGGCCCGTCTGTGGGGCCTGACCCGGCGGGGCCTGCCCGGAACCGGGCGGGGGGAGTCTGGGGGGCTTATTGTGTTGGCCGGTGGGGCTGGCAAACCCAGGCCGCTTTCTCTCAGGTGGCTTCGCCTCCCTGTCAGCTGTGGAGCAACCCAACCACATTTTGTCCCATCTTAAAGAAAAGAGAAAAAAATAAAAAATCGCAAAGATTAGGGGGAAATCTGTCCCGGCGGGGCCTGCCCGGAACCGGGCGGGGGGAGTCTGGGGGGCTTATTGTGTTGGCCGGTGGGGCTGGCAAACCCAGGCCGCTTTCTCTCAGGTGGCTTCGCCTCCCTGTCAGCTGTGGAGCAACCCAACCACATTTTGTCCCATCTTAAAGAAAAGAGAAAAAAATAAAAAATCGCAAAGATTAGGGGGAAATCTGTCCCGGAAAATGCCCACAGCTAGGGCTGCTTCTCCATGGCCCATGGACTTTTTTTTTAAAGACTCTGTTAAATCAAATTAAACTTTAATACAGTACAATTACTTTGAAAGAAATTAGCCCATTTAGAGCGCATTAAGGTAAAACAAGGAACAAATTGTCAATTTCCTGCTCTGGCTTCTTCCTTCGCCGCTGCCGGGGGGCGAGAAAGATGCTGGGGGGAAAAAAACTCACCGAGTCGGGCGTCCAGGAGGTCGGCGTGAGACAGCATCGCGCACCGCTCCAGGGCGAAGGCTGTTCCCCCCCAAATTTTAGCGGTTTTAAGTTATTTAAAATAGATATAAGATATAGATATATATAGATCGCCTAAATGAAAGAAAATTCGGTGTGTGGTTAAAAAGGGGGTCTCTTGCATTATAATGTCCTTTAGAGAGACGGGGAGGTGCTTAACACTTCAATGAACCCGTGAGCAGCTCGGCGAAGGGACCAATCAGGAGGGCAGGCTGCAAATGTCAGCGAGCCCGGCGAGTCCCCACTCCGCCCGCCCGCCCGCCTGCAGCCTCAGCACAGCAGCCCCGCAGCCCGGGGCTGGGCTGTCTCGCTGCGTCTCCGCTTGTTTCTCTCCCGCCGCCCGGCTGGAGTTCGGGTCCTTCTCCTGGCCCGCGGCCCCTGCTCAGATCTGCCCCTTTGCAAGGGCCTAAGCGGGTGCCTGGCGGCGCCTTCCAACCCGACACGGGGTAGGGCAGGGAGTGCCAAAGGAGTGCGGGCGGGCCCGCTTGGGAGCCTGGCTAGCAGGCTTGCCGGTCCAGGGAGCTTCTCACGCCCTGTTTGGGGCTGGCTTGTGCTTTGTGTGTCCACGTTCACGCTGCAGATCGGCTGTGAGTTTCAGGATCATTGCGGGGCAGTGGCTGGTGTTGGGAAAGTCCCGTTTCAGCATTTGTAATGCTGCCCAAATCGCTTATCCCCGTCGTGCCCGCTGAAAGACAACGAAGGATACAGTGATTCGAGTTCCTAATGAAACTTACACACGCTCTGGTTCCTTCCCCCACTCCACCAAAGGTGATCACAACGCGCTTCTCGCCCGGGCGAAATGTTTGTGTGAAAAAACATTGCCCTGAGACTGAAAAGCCCTTTAACATTTTGGGTTAGAGTTTCCAAGCTTGGCCACAAACTCAGATTAAGGCGGTAAATAAAGTTAAATGATTTTTATTTTCCTCTTGACTATGTTAAACTACTCGAACAATTTAAAGTGCTTTGCACAAGTGAAGCGAACCATTTCTAATGTTCTGATTTTTCAAAGCCAGCCAACAACAAAGTTTAGATTAGTAATATATTTCTAACCAGAGTAATTTTCAAGATCATTAGGCATTTATGTAATTAGTGCCAAATCTATAAGCTTTTATTACGATTATTAGAGTAAAATCAGTATAAATTTGTACTAATTTACTACTGTTTAGACTTGGCTGTCAAGCCAAGAGGTTCTTATTGTAAATGATAACTGAGGAAATTAAGTGCAAAATTCTGTACCATTTCTGATCCGCTCCTAAACAATCCGTTTCAATTGTATTTGTAGCAGAACATAATGCCCTTTTAAAGTTATTTGACTTGTATTTTTATTTGCAAAACAAGAAAAATACCCTCTACCCAGGCACAATGAAAACTGATATTTACTACTTCCAGCTTGATTAACATCGATTTTTAATTCAAAAGTGATGCAATTAAGATTATTCATTTAGTGCAAATAAAGCGTCCACAAAAAGGGAGCCCAGTGAAGTCTGTGTTAAATAATACAGCGCAAATGGCTTTTTTTGTTCGCCACCCAATTGACTTACACAAAACATTGTAAATGCTGCATGCGAGCAGATGCAAGCGTGATTTTGTTTGCCGCTCAGATGTGGTGGGTTTCGGCAGTGACTGAACAAGGAGACAAAGGAAGCGGCCGACCGCGATGTAGGGCAGTTTTGTTCCCTTTTCTCCCCTCTTCAGATCCTTGGTTACATTGATTCAATTCAGCTCCAGAGACGTCGGGCGGTTGGGTGCAACTCTGTCCCTGCACAGCAGCCCGGGAATAGCTAGGGCCAGAGACCGACCCAGGCCCCACTTTTGTGGGTCAGCAAATGGTGGTGTGTATAGTTCGATTTTTTTTAAAATTTACTTTTTAAAATCTATTTTATTTTTACGCCCGCGAAAAAGGGGCCCCTTCCGGGATGAAAACCCTGGGAGCAGTCCCCCCAGCAATCCCACTTTGTAACAAGTAGCGCTGTGAGAACCGAAGCAAAGTGAGAACGGACCTTCAGACGTGCCAAAGGAGACAGCCCACTCCAGGGGAGGGGGGCTGCTAACTGCAAGAGCCCTCTTTGGATGGATGCTGGGGACTTAATTGTGCGGAGGCTGGGGAGGTTTTACGCAGTGAGCCCCAGGCTGGGTAGACTCAGGGGTTTTCATGGCCCTGGGGGCTCTAGGTGTGTGTGGACTAAGTCTGCTAGGCGATGTCTCTGATGGCTTTGAGTTGGCTAGGGAAATGGTTGGAAAAATCCGGAGCGAACACATGCGTTCTGAAGTTACACTAGTCAAGGGCCGTGTTTGGTTTTTAGTTACATGCTACACGGAGGGGGCATAATATCAGAACCTGCAAATGTTGTGCCTCCTGTCTTTCTAGAATACGTGCTCTCTAGTCCCACCCAGAGATATCCTTCGGGTTGTTGTATGTTTCAGGTCGATAAATAAACGTGTAATAGTTAATGTGAAGACACATCAGAGTAATAACAATGGGATGAAATCAAAGGATTATCAATCTCTCTTAGTAACCGCTGAATAACAATGTTGCACCGTGATTGATAGCGCGCTTCATTTTATGACTTTTCTATTGCTCCTGATTTTTATAGCAGTATAAACAAACTAAATCATTTCTACTAAGGCTTCAAGGGATAATCGTTTTCGGGGGGAAAAATAAGAAAAGGAAATCTGTGAAGGGGGAAAAAAAGTCCAGGGCTGACATTAAGCACGTCAGAAAGCAAATGACAATGGTAGATATGTAAAACACTATAATCCCTTTTCGCTCCTCTCTCCACTTGTTTTGTCAAATGTGTGAATCCACCTGGGCAGTGGCTGAGATGTATTTACAAAGATTTTATTCCCCGTCATCCTTCCATTTTCCTAGGGTAGCCAGAAAAGTGTCAGTCAAGTCCATTCCTTTTATAATTTAAGGTATTTCCCACATGATCATAGAAACCGAAGTTCCTAACAAGGAAAGGCTTAGCACAATGGCCCCAAAATCTTCAGAATGACAAGAGTGTCTTCAGAAATCACTTCAGAGCAAAGTAAAAGGATTTTCTATGACGGATCCAGTGATTTTTCCTCAATAAATAGGTTTTAGATTGTTACACACACGTAGAACTGGAACAAAGGGAACTACCAGAAAATATATTGGTTGCCCCTAATAAAATTTATTTAGACAGTTTACTTCTCATAAAAATAGAGATTGAATTTTGTACGAGAGTGCCTGCCAAGGGGCTAGGCACATGGCATTTTTTTCCTTTTCCTCTTTTTAACGAAGCACATAGAGGACCCAATCCCGCGGTCGTTGCTCACGCAAACCCTCTCCTGGCTGTGCTGGGAGGTTTGCCTGAGTAAGGACTGCGGGATCGAGTTCTTCAGCGTTTAAAAAAGAAATTACCCTAATTCCCTCGTGTTCTGACCCTGGGAAAAAGTACAGAACGTTACAAACCCTAAAGCTGTTTTAAACAGTAGCCAAGTACTGATTGAATAACAAACGCATAAACAAGAGTTATTCAACCCAAAATCTGCTAATCTCACCAAAAGAATCAGCCTACCTTCGTTCTTCCGTCGGAATAATGACATTTTGTGCAAGAACTCACATAAAATAAGGTTAAATGTTTAAAGTCAGAAAGACGGGTTGAACTCAATAGCTGCTTCTTTGTAGGATTTGCAATTTGCTATTTGATTTATGCATTTATTGAGCATCCATTGTCAGGCTGCAGTTATATGCAAAGCGGCTATAACTGCTTTTTACACTTAGCAGCCGCTCTCATCGTTTATCAAATCTAACTTTGGGCTGCCTGATTTGTTTGTGCTGCTGTTTGGTATTTCCAGACAGTAGTGCTGAAATATAGGATATT